AATTCGACGATGATGGATGGTTTTTCGGTTTCCGTAGGGTCCGCTCCCGATGCTCGTCTATTTCCGTATGCTAGGAACCGCGCCCTGTGATTTATGTATTCGGTAATTGAAACCGACAAGCTCCAGCGTGACACTGTAAGGGAAGGAACGAAGGGTTCCACGTCCGTACCAGCAGATCGGGGAATGTCGGATCTGAGTTTAACGATCCCTGCGTTAACGTCCATGTTCGTCTGGAAACGAGTAAATATATAAATCTCGTGTAACCGTGTAAATATTTGAATCTGGATTAAGAATGCGACGTGGATAGTATCGCTCTTCGAGATTAGGGGATCGAGTAGGGATCAGGATCTCGAGGGAATCAGTTTCTCCACACTCGCGTAAAGACAATTTAAGAGGTTATTTGCTTCTCGTTGTGCATACTTTCAACCTAAGGTGCATCGTTAATATCGGGGAATAAACCGGTGCAGCACTTGTAGGTATTAATGCACGTCGTTTATGTAAAGCAGTATTTAAAATCGATAGGGATTGTACCATTGGACATCTTGATGTGCCTTACATACTCGATCGAGGATTACTCGATTCGAATTCGAAGTTAGCGCGAAGCACCTAGCCGATAACGAGTGCTGTTCCAGGTTAAATGTCATTTGACGAGAGGGATCGAAAGATGGGTGACCTGGGATTATTTGTTCGTGAATGGTTTCAATCCCATTCTACTACCTCTCTGACGTTGCGCAACGGCCAGAAATGGTGGCCATAGGTGGGTGGGTGTGTTCCATCTTGCCATCCTCTGCTACCACCCCTTGGAGGACAGTTAGTTGGGCATGGACGACCGACCGTCCACTCAGGGGGTCGGTCAGTCAGTCAGTGGTGGGTGGTCCCTTTCTCCAAAACCCCATTTCAGGTGACTACCTGACTTACTCTACGCGTTTTTGGGGGATGCTCGGAGAGGAGAAACTCCAGGACTAAGGAGAAAATAATAGAGAAAGCGCAGCAGTAACCATAATAAAAAGGGTAATTGTAGGAGTACGTAAAAAAAGTGGTAAATACACCAGAAAGAGAGGTTACCCTCAGCGATAAGGGGAGGGTGTAGCACGAGGGAAAAAAAGAATTTCAGCAATAAAGAAACAGCACAAAGGGCACCGAAAAGGGTATTCCAGGAATAAAAGGAATCAATAGAGGAGCGTGAAAAAGAAAATTCCAGCTGCGTACAAACTGTCGGCATGTTAAATAGCGAGTCTTTGAAAAGGCCCCTGAAAAGAGAGGGTTATTAACCCTTCGAACTCCTCCGACTGATACTTTGCCGCTCTTACGAACGTGAAATCGAACGCACGAGCCTCTTCTTCCGACGCGTGAACTTCTGTGGAAACGGTACGCGTGCCAGACACGTGTTCAAGCCACTAACCCCGTATTTTTCTACCCCGCTTCCGCCACTAATACCGGCTATTCGTCACACGCGTGCTCTTCGCAAAGTTTCTAATATTGGATATCTCGTTGTCTGCCTTTCATTTTTATTCTCGCACAAAGAGCGCTAACAATGTGCCGATGTGAGAACCTGGTACCTAGGGTCAGTTGTCTTCCGTATTTCACTCCGAAAATAATAGTCTCTTTACGCCACTGGGTACTTATTTTCGGTGCTACGTAGG